GGCAGTTCCCAGTGGGTGCCTGGCCTGTGGCCCGGTAACTGCCCTAGAAGCGACTTCTTGAATCCCCTTCTCCTCACGTAGGACATGAAGGTGAACACGGCGCAGTTCATGGCGCTCTATGCCTGGTATTCCTGGCCCAACGTGGTTCTTTGCTTCTTTGGAGGTTTTCTGATAGACAGAGTTTTTGGGATACGGTAAGTGTGATGTTGGTGTCACTCCTGTGATAGGTGTGAAGTGTGTGTGAACCATGGGCTTTATAACATACACTTTTTTTCAGATTATAATAAGCTTTCTCAACTATTTTTCCCATATCATCTAGGAATTTCCACTGCTACAAATAACCTTCCTCCCTTTGTGGCTTAAAAAAATTGGCTTCAGTGAAGCCAGCCTGTATGACTATTTAAGGAAGCAGTCAAGTTGTAGCATTTATTATGGAGGCTTTTTATTGCATGTCAACCTCCCCTTGTTTCTCAGCTGTAGGCCTAAAATAGACTTTTACAGGAAAAGGAATTGTAGCTATGCATTAATTGATTTTATTTTTCTTACAGGTTGGGCACGATAATATTTAGTGTCTTTGTTTGTATCGGGCAGGTAAGTGGAGATGTGAGGGTGAGGGATGATGTGACTGGAGCTTCTCTAATAAGGCTGTGGAGAAAAAGCCAAAATGGCTTCTCGTGCAGTAGGGATAATTCAGCTGGGAGTAGGCAGGTGAGGAGACCTGAAATGAGAGAACCCTGAATTGTAGTGGGGTAGCTGGGAACAAATAGGGGAACTGGCGACTTTGAAAGATGAGTGGAATAAGGATGTGAAGGAACCAAATGTTTTATCTGTTTGATGTGAAACTACTGTGCAGGTGTATTGGGGTGGGTATGATGATAGAGGTGCAGCATGACCTGAGTCCCTAGAGGTGTTCCCTGAGCGTAGGTTCAGGGTGGGCTGGGTTGGATATTGTGGAGTCTGCAGGATGATGAATAAGGCAGAGGAAGAAAAGGCAAAAAGCTTGGCTTAAGAAGGGTGTGAAGTACTTCTGCAGGTATGGGAAGGGAAGAGCATTTTTGTCTTGAGATGATTCTAGTTTGTATGGTTGTGTACATCAAATATAACATTTTTTTTCCCTTAAATGTTTATCTGGCAGGTAATTTTTGCTTTGGGAGCACTACTTAATACTTTCTGGCTGATGGATGTGGGCAGATTTGTCTTTGGGTAAGTCTAGAAGAGTATAGTTGGTGCTGGCTGAGGTAGGGACCAACTCTGTGTTCCAAAAAGCAGCTGTCATGTTAAACCTGGAGACAAAATTGTTGGATTTTGAGGCAGCTATAAAGCCAAAGCATGTAAGTTCTTGGGTCATGTTCTCAGTCTAACTTAAAAAGTTAGAAAACACAAAAACAGGACTTTGCAGGGCTTACTGAATTCAGAAATTCTGAAACTACCCAAATAGAGACTTGCAGTAAGTTGATGAAACTGTGCTAGTTCCTCTTCCTGTCTTAATTCTCCCTTTCCTGAGTAAAGAGACTTCTTAGGGATGAAAAATAAAACAGAACTTCTTAGGGATGAAAAATAAAACAGAACTTCTATGGTGGCAAAAAAGGAGAGCAAACGTCAGCAGAGATCTCCAAGCTGTGAATGTGGCACAGCATAAATATGTTAGAAAACCTGACCAACTTTGTAGGGGGCTGAGCAGGTGACTCCATTAAATTCTAATTCCAGGTTAAATGATAAGATTCCTGCTTTCATTAGGGTCAGGATTTATCCCACTTGGTTCTCTAATGCAAAAGAGAAAGGAGAAGCTGCTTCCCTGTTGATTTAATTTCTGTAAATGACCCAAGGCAATTATAATTGCTCCTAGACTATTTAAGACACCTTGTGCTCTGAATTGTCCTTAAGATACTGCAGCTCTCTTTTCAATAAGACTTTTATTGCCTTGCTTATATATTAGGTGTATCTGTACACAGATAAATTTCTCTGAAATACTGTCAGCTTGCTGTTGCCATCAACTGACGGACTCTTGGTGTTTTACATGTGCAATTAATGTTTTCTTTTGTGGTTTTTTTTTTCCCTAGAATAGGTGGAGAGTCCTTAGCAGTGGCCCAAAACACCTATGCAGTCAGCTGGTTTAAAGGCAAGGAGTTAAATCTCGTGTTTGGATTACAGCTGAGCATGGCCAGAATTGTGAGTAAAACTGTCAGTGTAAAGTAATTGTAAAACTCTGTAGCTTTAATTCATAGGCTTTAAGGTGTACATCTTGTCTTGGCAGCAAGACAGGTGGGAAACAGCATTTCTGATGCTCCCCAGGGAGTTGTGAATTTAGAATGTTAACTTGTGGAAAATAGGTAAAAGGATACACAAGGGAGTGGGTTAAAACAGGTTTGTTAGAACCTGTCCAGCTTCTGCAGAAGCCTGGTGATGGTATTGGCAGAGATTCCTTGGTGGGACAGTCACAGTGCTGCATTTCATCACACTAATTGATGTTTGGCTTAGCTGTGTGTAGCTTGTGGATTGGGGAACCACGTGCAGGCTCTGATGGATGAGTTGGGACGGCTGCTTTAAGAATTCCCATCCTTATTTATGACCCTAAGATGGTTTTGTCCCTGTTGCTGGTTGTGGTGGGAAATGTGTGACTGGATCTTGGCTGTGCTGTTCATCTGGATTGGATCTAATCATTAAAGTGCTGAGAGAGGTGGGTTTACACCAATGCTGTGAATGAGGGGAGTGGAGACTTCTCTTCTCTTAGAGGTCCTCTTTATCAGCCTGTGGTGTTTTGAACCACCAGCTTCTACCTCAGTGAAAGAGAATTGGAAGGTCACAGCTGGGCCTGGGTGGGTGGTCAGGCTGTTACTCATCAGCAGTTGCCTTATCTCAGCTGAACTGTAACTAACTGTTGTTAGCCTTGGGATTGCAGCCATGGATCCCTTCTTTGGGGGCCGAAAGGGGGAGCAAAAAAGCTTTCCTGCTTCCTCTCAGGTGGGAATCCTGTCTGCTTTAACAAGTGGTGTTAAATTCAACTGGGTTTACAAGCCAACACGATGTGTGATGTGGATTTTGTGGCACTTCTAATGCCTCTGCTGAAGCAGAGCTGTATAAGATTTCAGTCCTTGCCTGGATATTATTGTTGCAGTGATTAATTTGTTACAAACACCAACCAAACCATCAGGGAATCATTTTATCACTGTTGCTGGTGGTTTATGTTCCATGTGTAGCATCTTTACCTGTTTGCTTGTAACACTGTTCAATAAGCAGTCTGCCAAATGTTTCGTTTGAATTGATAAAACTATGAAATACCTCATTCTTCACATATTGTCTGTTCTACCTAGGGGAGCACAGTGAACATGAATATCATGGGATGGGTGTACTCTCGAGTTCAAGACCTTCTCGGTTATACTGGTCCCAGTACTCTTGGGTTAACGCTCATGATAGGTCAGTAATATTTGGAAGTGATGTTACCTGCTGCTGGTGGAGGGCTCTGAATCTCAACAGTATGCATAGGTGTTGGTGATTTCTTACTGACTTGAAAGTAGGACCAATGTTTGAGATTAAGAGCAATTCAAATACTCCTCGTATCAGTGGTTAATATTCTGGTGCAGAGGGTGTGATGACTGATACAGGGACACCTTATAGCACCTTCTAGTACTGAAAGCTGGGGACAGACTTTTTAGCAGGGCCTGGGAGGACAAGGGGTGATGGTTTAAAACTAAAAGAGGGCAGATTGAGACTAGAGAAAAGGAAGAAATTTTAGCTGTTGCTAAGGGTGGTGAGCCCCTGGCCCAGGTTGCCCAGAGAGGTGGTCGCTGCCCCATCCCTGGAACCATTCCAGGTGAGGTTGGCCGGGGCTCTGAGCAACCTGCTCTAGTTGTGGATGTCCCTGCTCTGTGCAGAGGGGTTGGACTAGATGGCCTTGAAAGGTCCCTTCCCACCCAAACCAGTCTGTGATTTTTTGTGATTGCCAAATTGGAGTTTGTGTCTTATGGAGATGAAATGCTTAACATGCTTGGAGTAAAGGACAGACTCGAAGCACTTCCTGAAGGGTATCATGCCAAAGCTTGCATGCAGTTGTCTGATGTGTAAAAGTGACATTTCAGGTAGCTTTCGGTCTGTGTTCCTGTCCTTCAGAGCCGTGGGTGTTAAGGCCCTAGGGTTGGTAACAAGACTCAGGCTTTGCTTCTGTTATTCCGAGCACAGATAAAGAGCTGAGTGGGAGTGGTGGTAATGTTTTTAAATAAAATAAATATAGTTGTGTTTGTACTCCAGTTCAAGGCAGATGCCTCATGTGGCAGGCTTCTGAGTTATAGAACTTTTGAATATTACACGTAAGACAAGCTGGTGTTAAACTTAGTTTTTATTAGATATGTAAAGATGTGCTACGCTAATTATGCTTAAAAGCCACACTGCTAGTTGAGTTTACAGCTAAACACGTCGCATTGGCTTCTTGCAGGGGGTGTCACTTGTCTCTTCTCACTGTCCTGTGCATTGATGCTTGCTTACTTGGACAGGAGGGCAGAGAAGCTGCTGTCTAAAGAGCAAGGGAAGACGGGTGAGTGGTGTGGGGGGACCTGCCTCAGGCTTCACCCCGTCATTCTGGAGCAGACCTTCCCAGTTCCATGGGGCAGGTTTGCCATTTGGGTAAATCAGTGGGTCCTGCTTAATGACTTTTTCACAGTTCCAGCTTTAATCATCATATTTTGTTAGGTTTTAGGTCAGTAGGAAGATTTACTGTTTCAAAGACAAATCTACAAGCAGATCACTGTCAATTGCTTGATTTACAAAGCATGCAGAGAGTCTCCCAGTTCACATGGATTTGATCTGTGCATTGCTACAGGCACTTTTTGCTGGAATTGGGTTTATTTCCTTTAATAGGTGTGCAAAAACATACAGCTCTTCTCCATCCCTGTGTGGTGCCTTGAATTTTCCATATGGGAGAGTTTAGGCTGATTAAAAATAAGCTAAATTTGAGATCTGAGTAAGAGCCTGTAATGGGAGGCTTCAGACCTGAATTCTGTTAGCTCATTAAACATCCCCTTGAACAAGTGTTTCGTGTTTAATTCTGCTGCATGAGATTTTAAGAGGCTTTATAGAACTTGTACATCCAGCTTAACGTGGGAGAGACAATTTGCTCTTGGCTTTGGCACTGTTGATTTAAGACTTGTCTGTTCTTAGCTGACTCTCTGTAAACTCTGGAGTGCAGACAGTGACAGGAACGTGTGCTTTAGCAGTGACTTGTGGTCACCTGCAGATTTATTCAGCGCGGGTGAATTTCAGATCTGCTGATGTTAACTGAAACCATGTTGCCTCTTGCCCTGCTCTAGGTGAAGTGATTAAGCTAACGGATGTGAAGGACTTCTCTTTGTCCTTGTGGCTGATCTTTGTGATCTGTGTCTGTTACTATGCAGCAATTTTTCCTTTCATTGGACTTGGAAAGTAAGTGTCTCTTGCTTCTGCAGCTGCTCCCCTTAAATTTGGCAAGGGTTTCAACTACCTACTTACAGACAGAGAGGTGCAGACAGTATTTAAGAATCCCAGATGGCTACAGAGCCACTGATTTCCCAGCATGGCTCTGTGGGGTTTGTCACTTCTCCTGTGGCATTAAGGGAGGGGATCCTGCCCCTCTGCCCTGCTCTGGGGAGACCCCCCTGCAGTGCTGGGGCAGCTCTGGAGTCCTCAGCACAACAGAGCTGTAATATGATAACAGAGCTGTGGAGTGGGGCCAGAGGAGCCCCAGGAATGACCCGAGGGGGGAACCCCTCTGCTGGGAGACCAGCAGGAGAGAGTTGGGCTTGGGCAGTCTGAGAGGAGAAGACTCCAGCTGGGGAGACCTTCTGGGGGCTTGCCAGGACTTCCAGGGGCCTGTCAGAAAGATGGCGACACACTTCTGAGCAAGGAGTACAGTGGTAGGATGAGAGGTGATGATTTCAAACTAAAAAAGGGAGATTTAGACTAGAAAGAAGGAGGACATATTTGGTGCTGAGGGTGGTGAGCCCCTGGCTCAGGTTGCCCAGAGAGGTGGTCGCTGCCCCATCCCTGGAACCATTCCAGGTGAGGTTGGATGGGGCTTCAGGAGAAATCTACTCTAGTTGCAGGTGTCCCTGCTCCCTACAGGGGGTTGGACTTGATGGCCCTGAAAGGACCCTTCCCACCCAAACAAGTCTATGATTCTGTGATTGTTTGCTATACTTGCAAGACAATGCATACAGGTTCTCTATCTGCTGAGCTTTGTAGGAAGTACCATTGCTTAGTGTGGGCTGGGTTGTCAGATCTCAAAATTAGCAGATACTCCATTTAGTGATTAAAACCTGACACAGGTTTAAAGCACAGTGTGAGCTCTGGACAGCTATTGTGTAGAACTCCTGTACTCAGATTCTATTGCCTGTGAGATGGGGGCTTAAATGTAGTTCCAGCTTCAGACTGGAATTCTCTTCCTCTGATGACTTTGGGAAATATGAAGCTGAAACCTGAAGCATTCATATGCAGGTTTCCTTTTTGAACTACAAACTGATCTAATAGTCAAATGGGTTTTTAATATACTTGGAATTAGAAACAGATTTCTTAAGCTCAATGCATGTTGTGTGTTGAGTGAGATGGAAAAGCCCAAGATGACCTGGGAGAGACCTTACAGTCAGTAATACAGACACTTGTTTTTTTGCTTGTGCATGTATTCTAAAAATTCTCACTTTGATCTCTTACAGGATGCTTATTGCTAATATCTTACTGGGTTACATTTTGGTTATGTACTTCGGATGTTTTCCCCAAAGTGTAATTTGAATAGACAAACGTTTGTATAGTCTAATAATAAGCTTCAAAATGGATTTTAAATGAGGGTCTGTGGTGGGATGTTTATGCCCAAGCTATATAGCTATAATTATAAAGTTCCCTGTAAACAAGATCTTGTGTCTTTGCCTACCTTAATTTTTCTTTCATGCCATAAATTGTTTTTCTAAATCCCTTTTTTTCTCTAGGGTTTTCTTTATTGAGAAGTTCAACTTCTCCTCTCAAGAAGCAAGTGCAATTAACAGGTATGTTGTGGCTGTTTTAACAAATGGGCTGCTGCTGTGTTCTGGGGGTGTGTGTCTGTGTCTTTGGGCTCCAACCATGTGGAAGGAGGCTTGGGATCTCCTCTTGTGGGTGGTGATTTGCATTGAAGTGGACAGTTCTCACGTTGCTCAAGGATTCATTGGGAATTTTGAGTTCTGGAGACTTGTTAGGGGTGGGAGGGGGAAGTTTGTGTGGTTTTTTGCTTATGATCTCACAGGTGACAAGGGAACACAGTGTTTTATCTGGAGACCCTTATATTGTGTAACACCTAAAGCTGTCCATGGCTAGATACTGAGCAGTTCTCTTGCTTTTATTCTTTTGTAGTATTGTGTATATCATATCAGCACCCATGTCCCCCATCTTCGGATTCCTGGTAGATAAACTTGGAAAGAACATCATCTGGGTTTTATGTGCTGTAATCACTACACTTGCTTCTCACATTATGTTGGCTTTCACCTTCTGGAACCCCTGGATAGCAATGGTAACTAGTTTTCTGAGACTTAGAGCTAAATATGATAAAACAAGAAATGGAATTGATGCTGAACTATTCTTCATAGTTTCTGCTGTGTTCTGACTGTTCAGGTAATCCTCAAAAGCTGTGTTGGTATCCCTGACTTTGAGAAGGATACACTATGTGAAACCAAGTATAAAACTAAAGATGGTGAAAGTTAAAAATGCATAATACAGGCAAAACAAACCTGGAAAACCTCAGTAGAAGCCCGTACTGATTTCTCTTTCCTTGAGCAGATTTCCTGAGAAATTGCTTTTGAACCAAGGTTTACAGGCTTAGATACAGTGCTCAACAGTGTATCAGAGCTTAAAAACAAGATCCTTGGTTTTCAGGTATTTTTCTAGTGACCTCCAGCACTGGTCTGCTCCTCTGGATATCGAAGTCAGCATCTTCACTTAATGCTGGTTAGGTGGGGTTTAGTTTGTCAGTGGCTGCTGGGAGAGGTTCTCCTTTTAAACGTGCATATTTATCTAGAATAATATTGCAAAAAGCATTCCTACAGGTTTTTCCCTTTGGGGAGAAGGGAGGGGAACCAATATATTAATGTATTAGAATTTTACAGCAAAAAAGTCTCATCTAACACCTGTTCACTTGTTTTTATTTATTTCACCAGTGTCTGCTTGGAGTGGCCTACTCATTGCTTGCCTGTGCCCTGTGGCCCATGGTGGCCTTTGTTGTTCCAGATCACCAGCTGGGAACTGCTTATGGCTTGTGAGTACTTAAATCAGTCTGTGCTGCTCTAAAGTGACCATCTCCTGATACTATTGAACCAGTGAATATCCAGCAGTTCCAGCTTGGATCGATGGGTTGAGGCCAATGGGGTGAGGTTCAACAAGGCCAAGTGCTAGGACCTGCACTTAGGTCACAATAACCCCCTGCAGTGCTCCAGTCTGGGTAAGGGTGTCTGGAAAGTGCTTGTTGGAAAAGGACCTGGGAGGGTGGGTCAAGGCTGAATATGAGCCAGCATGCCCACGTGGCCAAGAAGGCCACCAGTGTCCTGGCTTGGATCAGCACTAGTGTGGCCAGCAGGACTAAGGCAGGGATCATCCCCATGGACTTGGCACTGGGGAGGCTGCCCTTCAAGTTCTGGGGTCAGTTTTGGACCTGCCACTCCAAGAAGGACCTTGAGGGGCTGGACTGTGGCAAGAGCAGGGTAATAAAGCTGCTTGGGAAGGGTCTAGAGCCCGAGTGTGGTGAGGAGTAGCTGAGGGACCTGGGGGTGCTGAACCTGGAGCAAAGGAGGCTCAGGGGAGACCTTCTGGCTCTTCACAGCTCCCTGGCAGGAGGCTGGAGCCAGGTGGGCTCAGTCTTTCTCCCAAGGAACAAGGGACAGGACAAGAGGGAACGGCCTCATTTTGCCCCAGGGGAGGTTGAGGTTGGCCCTGAGGACTAATTTTTTCCCTGAAAGGGTTGTCCAGGGCTGTCCCAGGCTGCCCAGGGCAGTGGTGGAGTCCCCACCCCTGGAGGGGTTTCCAAGCTGTGGAGATGTGGTGCTGAGGGACATGGGTCAGTGGGTACCTGGCAGTGCTGGGGGAACGTTTGGACTTGATGATCTTGAAGGTCTCTTCTGCTGTGATTGTTTCTAACCCGTTAATGTTTAATAATTCCTCCAAGTTCATTCAACAGGAAGCCCTGTGTGCTTTCAAGATGTGTGTGTGGGGTGAGCCACGTGCTTGAGGTAGATGCACAGAAACTTCTGCAAAAATGTGAAGTCATAACTCTGCCATATGCCATAACATATGGGGAGGAGTTAACCTCATTGCTGTCTCAGGAGCACTAATGATGTCTGCTGTAAAAATACTGTTGTGCCCCGTGGTAATCCTTGGTTCCTGTCTCAGTATGCAGTCCATCCAGAACCTGGGCCTGGCAGTTATTGCTATAGCTGCTGGGATGATCCTGGACACAAGAGGATACTTGTTTCTTGAAGTCTTCTTCAGTGCTTGTGTTTGCTGTAAGTATTAAAAATGGTTTCTGTACATTCAAGAAGCTTTATTAGGCTTTATTCTTAATATTTCCTGTAGACCAGTAGTAACTCCTTTCTTACAGTTAGAGATTTCATCTGGGGCCATGTTGAAAGTAACTCAAACCTAAAAAAGCGTTTTGTGGGTTTCTGGAAGCAATTTAGTGTGAATAGTTTCAGTGTTTGGAAAAAAATGAGTGAGTAAAAGGGTGGATGAATGATACTCTTAAGAGGTGTGCTCCTGAGGGCTATTATTAATATAACTTAGTTAATTAACCTGTTCCTGAGTTCCCAAGCTGCTGATGAGCATAGTGGAATTTTTGCAAGCAGTTAAGAGTTGCTGCTGGCAAAAACCTTCCCTCATAGCTGTCCTGAAAAATCTAGGTTGTTGCTTGGTTGTGTGTTCAAGGTGTTCTCCTGTTGTTGTAAATTTATTGTCAGCTAAAACTGTTCCTTCTTTTCCTTCTAGTGTCACTAATAGCTGTAGTCATGCTGTATTTTGTAAATCACCTCACAGGTAACTGTTTTCAGCTTCTCTCAACAATTGTTTTTATCCTAATTCTTGAAGTACTCAAGCTGAGCTGCTTACAGGTGATGTTGTATGGTCCTCTATCAGGTGCTGGAGCTCATGGCTTTGATACCAGGAGCATCTCTGGATGAGTAATGTCATCCAGAGATGACATCCTGTCCTTGTAATGTCATTGTGTAATTCCATGAACTTTGCTGTGATGTTACATCTCATCAGCAGGGTAGTGGTACCTGTCCTGTCAGCTGACTTGAATAAATGTATAGGATAGGACAAGGGGAATAGCTTCAAACTGGAAGAGGATAGATTTAGCATAGAAATTAGAAAGAAGTTCTTCAGTATGAGGATGGTGAGACACTGGCATAGGTTGCCCAGGGAAGCTGTGAATGCCCCATCACTTGGAGGCATCAAGATGAGGTTGGATGGGTCTTTGAGCAACCTGATCTAGTGGGAGGTGTCCCTGCCCATGGCAGGGTGTTGGAACTAGGTGATCTTTAAAGTCACTTCTAACCCAAACCATTCTATGATTCTGTGAAGTGTTTTCTAAACTGCATATCAAACTTGACTATATATGTTTTCAAATATAAAAAAATTGATTCTGTGGACTTTCCTTCCAAAAGCAGTGTTTTCCCTCAACCGTTCTTTAAAGCAGTAACTAATGAAAGATCTGGAAGAGATACTAATTTGTTTCTTTCAAAGTTACTTCCAATTTTTTCACTTTATAGAGTATTATGGTGAGTTGCAGAGAAACTTTGTTACTCAACAGAAAACTGGATCAGATTTGAGCTTATTTTGGGTCTTGATTTTGCTTGCGTGGTGGTTATGAACATGTTGCTCATTATTTTTACCTCAGTTTCTGCTTTTGTAAAGTTACTCCACTGATTTATTCAGTCAAGTGCTCAGAGAACTTCTGTAGTGAGGTATAATATCAAAGATCTAATCCAAAAAGACCATTTTTAAAAGTTTGAAAATGTGTATTACTTCTCTGGCAGGTGGTGATCTCAACTGGTCTGCAAAGAAAAGGGAAAAAATGCAAAAAGTAGCTGCAACTGAGTAAGTATAGAGAACAGTGTCCTTGTGAAATGTTTAACCTGAATTAAGCAGGTTATTGTCTGCAGTCAGTCTCTTTTGTAGGTCTGCCATTTGTGTTGAATGTTATTTTCTTTCTTGCCAGTCAGTAGTAGGATTTCATTTTCCTGCCTCCTGTGAACAACTAATTAGAGCAAGTAGCAATTAAGCAGGTGCCCTTTCCTGCAACTTCCTTGTTAGTGGCTTTCCATCTGAATGGAACTGAGGTGTGTTTAGAAAATGTGCTTCATTTCTATCAGGTGTTCCTGACCCAGTCAGCAGCAAACATGACCTGGGTTTAATGTCAGGTAATGTATGGCCCAGTTATTTTAAGTGTCATTAAAAGTTAGATCTCTCTTCAGAAGAAACTCCACTTTGGTCACATCCCTTTGACTTCCAGCTTGCTCCTCTTGCTGTCTTATTTAGAAGTCTTAATTCAGCTTGTCTCTGAAAATTGTGGCTTGAGTCTAAATTGCAGTGGTGATGTGAAACTGGTTAGATCTGCGTTACAAAGATTGATTGCAGCAAAAAGTTGCCACTTTTAGAAAAAAAAAAAAAAAAATGGGGCAGAGCTATTCCAGTAGAGTGAAATCTGCTTCATTTAAAAGGAAACTCTTGAGGTGGGCTTATGGCAGGAATTGTCAAAATAAACAAATTTTGATAGTTCATCCAATTAAGCAAATGTGGTTTTGTGGGAGACTGTGTCCTGCTTTCCTCTCTAATAGGGAATAAGGACAACAATGCTCTTCAGAGTAGTGACTTAAATCCTTTTCCTTGGTCTTGACAAAACACTAGTGAGGTGTTACGGGTCCGTCGCTGTGTTGCTAACAGCTGGAAGTGGGTGCTCTTGCTTTTTGAGAGTGATGTGTGATCAAATGTAGAGGAATCATCACCTGCTGTCGGGAATCCCTGGAATTCTAGGGCGCTGGATTTATCCCCACTGCTGAGCAGAAAGTGTACCTGGGTTTCTGTTTCCTTCTCTGAGAGTTTTACCCCTCATTCAGCAACCTCAGAACATTGTTACCTCTTCCTAGTTCTACTTAGTCCTGCCAGGATTAAGAAGACATGCCTTGGAGAATGTCATGTTGATGGGCCTGAAGTACTGATTAATCTAAAAAATATTTAAAGCAAAATTTAATTTGCTTAAGGGTAGAGCAAGTCTAAAAAGGTTCTGCTCTTCTCATGTGAATTTGTTTTGAGGAGACTGTTTGAGAACTGTTGGAGAGGACACAGTGTGTGTATTTTTATGTCTCCAGTCATAGCTGAGTTCCACATTTGTCATGTGGAAGAGTCAATGTGCAGTGAGTTGCAGCTTTCAGAAGAACATCTGTAGAGTTCAAGCTGCTTGTGTGTGATCACCACAGCTTTTTATCTTTTGAAGTGCTTCCTGTTCTGACCTAATTCAGCTCAGTGAGTCTCTTCAGATGTTCAAGTTCACTTCCCTGTAATGCTGTTGGACTCCTTTACTTTTTAATGGGTAACTGCAGTTCCCCTGCAGAGCCTCTACATCTCACAGCTTATATATAAAAGTTTATTCTAGATCAATGCATTGCTAACAAGTTGTCTCTTACAAATGGGCTTTATGAACTTCTCTAAACATGGACTCTGTCCATATGATGATAATTAGTCCTAAAAAATCCAAAATACCTGTTAACAAGGTCTAGGCAGGTGACCTGTAGGCTTTAACATGGTTTTGTTTCTTGTCCTGATTTGGGGGATTTTTTACATGTGGATCTTGAGGAAAGCTTAAGGAAAGTAAAACCTCCCTAGACTCTGTGAGCATGCTGGCTTAGTTTGGATGAGTATCACCCTTGAGCCAAAAGGTCACAGCTGGTTTTTAGTACAAATGTGACAAAAATAAACCCCCCAAGCCCCCTTGTACCCAGGAGCAAAGGAAATGATGTCCACACAGAGCTGCTGTTCAGCCTGCCTGGCCCAGGTGGGATGAGTGTGATGTTTCCAGTACTGATGGTGAAATTTGGCTTTGTATTAGTGTGTGCCTTAGAACTATGTTGTCAGTAATTCTTATTACAATGTGTTTTTCAGAAAAGAAATTTGACTAGCAAATATCATCCAGAAGTGGGGAGCATTTGATCAGCATCATGTCAACTGGAAGAATTAGTGTTGTTTAGCTTGGTGGCTCTGCACAGTAGTTCTTTGGAAAAGGATCTAACATGCTGGGGATTTTACAGCGAACGGCTGCGTTTTATGCTTCATAACCAGTTTTAACTAATGCCAAATCATCTCTTAATTTGCACAGAATGGGTTTAGAGCGTTTGCACTGTTTAAGCTCTGTCACAGGAGGGGGGGACTCTGCAACCCCAGACAAACGTGTTCATCTGAAGATAAAGACGAGTATAAAGTGCCTCTATGTGCAGCACTGCTGTCTTGGTGAGGGTGAAGGTCTCTTAACATGGCATTTTATGTTCTTTCCGTACTAAGGCTCTTACAGAGCAGGGAAACGGGTCACTGCTGCTGCCTTTGTCACTGTCTTAATGCAACCCATTGTCTCAAGCTAAGTGTATTTAGAGCTTTTAGATCCCTTTCTCGTTAAGACTTACATGGAAAAAGAGCAGCAGCGCTCTGTACTGACTCTTTTGTAGGAAACTGCTATAGATTCTGAAGACTGCTGAGCAGTCTTATATTTGCATTTTTGACAACTATTTTTTGTATTGTAATCTTCATTTTAAGGAAAGGTTTAATAAAGAGATAGTAAAAATTGTTACAAAAGCTCGCTGAGCACGTTGTAATCTGTGAAAGATGGAAAGGTTTCTCCTTCTCCTGAAGTCTTGCAATCCAAATAAAGGAAACTGCAGAAAACAGCCTCTCTCTTTCTTTACACTGAATTAGAGTAATCCACACGCATCTCCCAGTTTCTCAATCTGAGACCCAGTATTCATCGGTGAATGTGACAGGCGTTCTCTGGGTCTCAAAAATAAAACTGCACACGCCAGCTAAAGTTGCTTGGGTTTGCACTCCTCAGTGCAAATATCTTAACCCAATTTTCTTTTCCAGAGCAGAAGAACAAGAGCGACTCAGACGTCAAAATGAAGATGACTTGGCTAAATTACGGCCAAAAGCTGATGACTTTAGTTTAAGGAATAAATACCTCTCCAAACTAGGCGCTCAGGTATTGTTGATGAAGTAGGGGGTTTAATCATTAAGACTAGAACAATGAGATGTTTATTTTTAGAACGTGGCTTATTATTTCAAATAGCCAACGAATCAAACTCTGATTAAAATGCTAAATTTAGTCTCACTCTCAGAAACGAATTCTCAGCACTGTGAATTAGAAATCTAATGAAGAAAGTGAATCAATGGCTGGTGAACCAAATCAGTTGAGGAGCAGGCTTATGATGATGCATGATTTCTTAATTTTATTGTATTTTGCAGCTGCCAGATAATTACTCTTCCTATTTCTCGACAATGGCACACAGAAGCGTGTTGAAATAGCATCTTGCCCCACTTGCAAAAGCAGAAATGCACTGAAGGCTCCTGCTACACAACACTTTCGTTTCCAGTACAGACAACTACCCCAACACAAGCAGAATGCTGCACCACACTTTCTGTGAGCATAGATCCTATTTTTAAAATACTGGGCTTAAATATTTACCCTCCACGTGGGGGGTAAGTAACACGGATACTGCTGAAGAACCGTCTGGCTGTTTCTTTAAGCCTCCGAGAAACGTCCTGCACCCTCATGTCCCCAAATGCTCAGTGAGTAGCTTGATTCTGTAGTTGAGACTTGATCTCTTCTGGCTGCACAACGATGTCTGAGATGGGAGAGCTTTATTTCAGTTACCAAACTGCTGGAAATGAGCCTTGGTGTAGGTATAGGCTATTTAGCCTCTCAAGTTGGACAGCTTTGTTGCCATATTACAAGTGGTCTGTTTTATTTTTCTTAGAGAAAAATGTGAGGAAGGACTACCAGCCAATATAAAATTCTAGCATTGCAGGTATAAAATTCCAGTATTACAGACCAAAAGGTGCTAGCCCTTCAATTTAACACTAGATGACAGGCTTAGCAATAAACCTCAGGCAAATCCTGATTAATGTGAAAATTGGTGTATTTTTAAAAGGTTGTGACTAAACATGATGAAAAGAGTTAAATGCAAGAACAGGAGTTTGGCATTCAGTGGAAGAATGTTCAATTTTATAAGGAATTTTAATGTTTTTCCTGTAATTTCAGTGGAAGGCTTGTTGCTGAATAGCAAGGTACTCCTGCAGCATGCCTTTTTCTCTTGTTTTTATTCATGATAAAGGCTCACTTATGTAATTGAACAAACTATTCTTAAACTAAGCTAATTTGCTTGAAAAGGTAAAAGCAGCTGGCTTGGTGGAGCACTAAGTACACTAGAGGATGAGGTGCACAGGGCTGGGTGAGCTTTCCTTGGCTGTCCTCGGGGAGTCCTTGTGTGCCACAAAATGCTGAAGAGCCTTTGACAAAGGGCTTGACTGCAGAAGAAGTGGTTTGTTATAATAAAAATATTACATTATACCAGTAATATTTTTTTTTTTCCTGTGGTAATTTAAGCAGACCTTGTGGAACTGGTGGTCTTAAGGTTTGTTTTATAAAGATAGTTCAGTGGAGATATTCTTTGTCTTCCTGAAAGACTAAGATCATCTGAAAGACTAAACCAGGACTATTTTGTTTAGTAGTTCTGGATTCTGAAGAACAACCCAGGAAAATAAAGCAGAAGGGAGCTGAAGGGGACAGCATACACTGACCTGTGAGGGTCTTTATCAGTGCTTTCTACACTCCCTTTGAGAACCGAACACTATGGGCTCTGGGGCTGGTGGAAGCAAGATGGTTGGTGTTTCCTTGTCAGCTTGTGAATTCCGGGGCTGTTTTAATAAAAGTTTTAAATGGTTACCAGCACCTGTAGTTTTCTTACTCTCTTCAGTGGTGCGTTGTTGCCTTTGGGGGTTGTCACTTGGTTTGGTTTCATGTTGTTGAACAAGCCTGACTTTTGCTTTTCCTATGTAGAG